TGGAGAAATTAGGGGAGTCGTCGATGGCGGAGCTGCGGCGGCGCCGGTCAATGCAGAACTGCGGCCATGGTAGAGGAAGGTATCCTGGTCGATGGATGTGAACTCGGATAATGGCGGCGATCAATTGTTGAGGGCAGAGGAGAAAGGCGCACAACTGGGATAGGTTAATCAGGGGTAAAAGTGTAATCTTTAGTCCTATTTAGGGAATTTAAAACACTACACCGAAGTATACATATAAAAGCGCAATGTTTCTCAATAATTTATTTAATTATCTTTCCGATGGAGCTTGTTGGAATTTGGTGTGCCTAAACTAGACTTTATGAAAAAATGGTCAAAACATTTCATAAAAAAATTCAACGAGAAGTACCTCCGATGGCGCTGTCCGCACGGAGGTGAACGGGACTCTCCAAATACGATAGTATACATAGGACCTTTTATTGAAAATTACTCATCTTTATTAATTTAGAATATCGTTGGTCAAGTGGCTCAAAATACATAGAGATATCGAATCAAAAAACAAATTACCATCCGCCACGTGAAAGTGCCGCTATAGCCAAGCTATGATCAACTCTATTCAATTAGTAAATGAGGTAAGGGTCAGATTGGTCTTTGAAATTGCATAAAAAGGGTCAAATAAGTCTTTACTGTCCGGCCGTTGCCATTTGGAGAGGTTCCCGGTGGAATTTTTTGATGAAATTGTTTGAGCATCTTATTCATTAAGTCTAGTTTACTCATACCAAAATTCAGCTAAAACTTCAATCGGGAAGGCAATCAAATGAATTCTTGAAGGTAATTGCGCTTTTAACGGAACAGTAATCTTCAAGAGTTCATTTGAATGCCTTCCCGATTGAAGTTTTAGCTGAAATTTAGTATGAGTAAACTAGACTTAATGAATAAGATGCTCAAAAAAATTCATTAAAAAATTCCACCGAAAACCGCTCTGAATGGCGACGGCCGGACATAGCCTCCTATATAAGGACTTATTTGACCCTTTTTATGCAATTTCGATGACCAATCTGACCATTGAATCGTGCAAAATCATATTAACTCATGTTTATGTTTGTGTGTTATTAATAATTACTCAGTAACTAATAGTTATGGTCCTATGGACTAAGCAAAATAGGCAGTAGTGTTAGCAAATGAGATAATTATAAAAGGCACAAGACTTGAATTCCTTGCTAGTCTGGTGTTAGAGGAGAAGGAATTTAAAAAGCGAAAAAGTAACATTAATGAACTACACCATCAAGAAACTAGGTAATTGATTCAACAACTGCCCTTCTTGAAAATCTTGACAACCTATCTAATCTATGAATCTATCTAAATTTATATATATGCACACACTTGTATCACAAAAAACCAAACTGGAAAAAGAGAAGCCATGCATGTATTGTTTCCTCTGCATGCCATGAAGAGATGTCAGGACTTGTTATGGATTGGATCAGATCTTCTTGGAACTCCCCTTTTGCTTGTTTGGTTTGGATCAAACGTTGTCTTCTGATGAGCGCTTTCGTTTAGGAGACGGCAATTGCAATTATTTTTCTTCATCATCTCTCTGCCAGATCTTGAACCATCATCAAGGTTTTTACTTCTAATTGCAGAAGCTTTCTCAACATGAAGTGCCAACATTCCGATATAGATGAGAACAAGAAATGCTTTACTTTTTGTAATAACAACCATTGTCACTATGAAAAGTTTGATGGGTGCCTTATTTTGTGTTTATGTGACACATTCCTGTAGAGATATATATAAGGTAGTGTATGTGTGTTTGTAAGTGATAATTATATACCCCATGTTGTAAAGAAGGGATGAGATAGAATCTTTGGATGGTTGTAGTAGAATCATCCCAACCATAAATCTGATGTTTTATTTGATGCATGAAAACTAAAGCAGCTAGCTGTGGAAGAATCTGAAAGAGATGATTAAAGGGGGTTCTTCAAACAGCATCCTTGAGAAGCTAAGCCACAAGCATCTTCTTTTTGTCTCTTTGTTGTCTATATACATGGACCACAACAGATTAGTCATATCTGACTGCCAGCCACCTCACAAATCCATGCTTACCTTTGCACTTTTCAATTAGATGTGCCAGCAACACATATTTGAGATCTTCCCTCTATATTTTTGTTCATTGTGACTATGTTGGAGTTGGCACAATCTGGTCCGACTCCACATTAACGGTCGGATCGAGGAGCCAAACCCAAGGGTATTCTTGAATGAAGTATAGTAATTCAAGTTATTATTCAAAATGATGTTCTTTAAAATGAAAACTATGGTCTACCACATTTTATCATTCTATAACAGTATAACCTAATCCACTATTCAACCAATCACTTAGCAAGGGAATGGTAAGATACTAAGATAGATGACAGCAAATTATAGTTACATAGTAAGGAGTTTGTCTTAAACCGAAGCGTAATTCAAGAAGTTACATGGTTAATGTCTGGTAATAGTTACCGATACTCCTACCAAACAAAGCATATTTGAAAGGGTGTAGGCAGGGAGGACACCCGGCCTGCCCCCAGTTTGGTAAAAACATTTCTCATGTGTAACAATTTCTATATGTAACAATATCAATATGTAATACGGAGTATGTTACAATATTTTTGTAAACCAGCCTTCCTTGGTTTATAAGCTAAGAAGAAAAGATTATGTTGGGATAGGGTGAGCAGCCAAACTTAAAAGAAATGGTATAGTATAAGCAGTAAAAAACAACAAAATAAGGTGATAAAAAGGATTAGAGGAATATATCATCTTTTACCCTAAAAAGTGAAAATCAATAGAAGCTTTATGCATGCTCTCAGCAAAACTGGCTGTAGTGTCAAGTGTGTTTCTTTTGTGCTTTTCTTTTCTCTTTATCTTGAATGCCCACATTCAGAGTACTGGCTCTTTCTTCTACTATTTGAATGTGCCTGGGCACTCAACTACATACAACTGGAGTATAAGACCACCTTTTTTTATGCAGACATCTTTTCAATTACCCTATGATTTGATACTGCCTCCATTCACTTTTGGGTGTTGCTCCATTTTCTTCAAAAAAAAAAATATTCATTATTCCTTGCTCCCCAAATTTCACTTTTGAGAATTACCAACCAACATACAAAATTATTAACGTTATTATTATTCTTTTTCCTTATCATCTGATCTTCTCTACTTTTTTACTGCTTATACAATACTCCGTATTCATTACCGCTAATAGGGTGAACTTATCTTGATTCCATGAATGATGAATTACACCACAACTGGTCGGTTTCTTACTCGAAACTAGATTATTAAAGGTCATGAGCATTTCAGAACCGGATTGAACTCGGATCCGGTTCCAATTCTTTTAGAATGAATACCAAGCTCACCAGTTTCACTTCAAACAACTATTTCCCCCCTTCCCTAATTGCCCAAAATTTCCGTGCGAGCAGGACGGGGTTCTAGCTATCATGGTTACATGTTGCAGTCATGGTCAACGACCTCAAACCGGATCCAAACTAGCCAAGTCCACCCTACCGACAATTTATTTACTCTTAAATTCCTTGAACAGGATTTTAGGTGCAACTAGAGCAGTGATCTTATATACGGAGTAGATATATAGCAGCACTCCATTATGGGTTTGATCAATAGGCTGATTCTTCTTGATACGGAGTATTAATTAATTGTTTTGCGGATTCTTTCCTCACACTTCAAATTTACGCGGTGGTTTCATAATTTATTTGAACAATTTAATTAAATTTGACAAGAAAACAGTGTAATCATCTGTCCAATCACAAAATCAAAAGAAAATTGGCACAATTAATAAAATTTACTCTCGCCAAATGTGGTTTATCTTGCATGAACACACGAAGTTAATAAAATTTACTCTCACCTAACCTATGTTTGAAAAACCGACCTGGACTGATCATTTAGGGGTGGACCGGTTCCGATTCGGGCCCGGTTCGGGCCTGGACCCAGCCGGGCCTCGGTTCATGAAGGGGAGGCCCGGAACCGGCCCGGGTAACCCCCGGGTCAGGGCTGGGCCGGGCCGGGCCGGGCCTCGATTCTAATTTTTTTTTTTTCGGGTTTTCCTAGTTAACTCCCAACCCTCCCCCTCACCCCCAAACCAACCCTAACCACCTCAAATGCCCCAAAATACCCAGCTCAACCCAAAAACTTAAAAAAAATTCAAAAAAAAAATGGCCCGGGCCGGGCCGGAACCGGCCGGTTCACCTTTTGAAGGGCCCGAGCCCGAACTGCCATCCCACCGAGCCGGGTGGCCCGAACCGGGCAACCAACCGGTTCACCGGGCCGGTCCAGGCCCGCACAGTAGCGGCCAGTCCGGTTCCGGGTTTGCCTGGCCCGAGTCCACTTTGACTCAAGTCTAGCCAGAAATTGGCGACCCAAACAAAAAGCTGATTCCATAAGTTAAAAATCCAGAAATGGGCAAAACCTGGAAACCCCAATTTCAGGTTTTTTTTCAAAAATTTAAATATTTTTTAAGCATTTTTTAAGCATAAAAAAATTCAAAAATTTAAACATTTTTTACCCATTAAATTACAATTTCAATCCTAAAAAGAAAAAAACGCATTATATTTGTAATTTTGTATATTTATTTGAGAATGAAATCATGTCAAATTATATGATAAATGTACAATACAAATTATGAATAACATTCCTATTCTAATAGGACCAAAATTATGAAATTGTGTTTTTAATGATTATTAAAAATTATCATTAGTTGATTATTATGAAAAATAATTACAGAGTGCCTTTTATTTTAATCTTATACTACATGTATATAATTATATGTTTATAATTATTATATAGTTCTATGTATGTATTTGACCGGTTTTCTGGCATTCATTGGGTTAACCTACCGAATTCCCCAATACAACAAATATCTCACAACCCTAAATCCTTTTCCTGTGAAGTTCTTCCATTCCAAAACTAACATTCCAACCGTTGATTTTGGAATAGAGAATCACATCTCCACTTTACTGTCCATTCACCATCATCATGGCCTATAAATTCCAGAATCAAAAGAAAAATCAGACATGGAAGTATGAAATTTAAATGATCTTCACATTATCACATTTTGGTACAATAAGCTATACACCAATATGGAAAACCCAGGACAGAATGAACTCAAATGAACATTGTACTGTATTGGTCTGGTCAATGCTGCCCAAGGGGGTAATGCTCAAACAGGTATGGGAACCGTTGGACCCTTCTCCCACTCAAGCCCGTGGCACAGAGTGTGATCCAAAGATCCTCTAGCTCATGTGGACACAATCCATTTGGGCAGCATAGGACCCTCCCTGCTCCCCCCAATTTACATTCTGTAGTCTGCCTCCTGACCTTGTGTCCTTGTCTACTCTATCCATCAACATAGTTTCCAAATAGTTACTGTGTGTGTGTGTTGCATAATACATGCCCTTGTGAATTGGAAGCTTCATGTAAATTGGACAAGTTTCAAAAAACGGACCATTTGGATCTTCTTCCACCACCGTGTGAGCCATGGTCTTTTTGGTTCTTCCCATCCCGGGAGAGACAGAAGCTACGAATACCTACTCACGCTTTAACTATGTACTTCCCTTTCTCCAGATCGTACACGGTCTTCAACTGAGGGTGGGGGTTTCTCCAGTTTCGTACATAAGAAACCGCAAAAATAAATAAAACCAAAATGCCAAAGACAGTTATCAAACTAGTCGACACATCACTACCAGATATAAATGCAAACCAGTTAGAAGAAGACTCTCTATCCAAGTCAGCACTACTCTGCATGATGAAAGCTCCTAATGCCCAGTCAAGTGGGACTTCATCCACTTGATTAGCATATCCAATCCTGTACCATGTCAACATTTGATTGATGGTGAGGTTATGATAATATATAATATCTGAAATGCACAAATTGTACCATAATTATTTGATACGTATCACTTTGGCACCACAACTTTTTCAATTTGTTTGGATGGAGGGTTTTGAAAGGGTTTGAAGGGGAAGGCTTAAGTCTATACGTTGATATATTTCTGTAACTTTATAAAGTGAAAGACTAACAATTTTACATAACATGTATGATATAAAACTTATTGAAACATTCTATGCATTAAGGGTATCCACCAAGCCTTTTAAACTTTCCACTCTAAAATCCTGAATCCAAGCGGACCCCTGAGGAGTTGAAGCATAAAAGTGATACAAAACAAATACGTATGGAAGCATTTGAGCATATGGTCAACAAACAAGTACCTTCCATCATCCAAAGAAACTCCAAGACTATCATGAAGTAAGGCCACGATATATGCTGAAGAGAAGCAATAGCGAAGCAAATCCTCTTCTGCTAGTGAGTTGTACTTGCTCCTCAACTTTGACCAATCTTCTTCACAAAATTTTTCCCCCGCATCTACCAGATCAGAGAGAAATGCCTTTGGGGCCAATCCAAAGAACTGTTTTTAAATAAAGATAAGAAATGGCATTGAATTCGTTAGAAGTCTTAATGGCATGTAGCAATGTTTAAAATGCAAAAAGCACGTGAATTGCAACCTTAGTCGTATGGAAGAAATTCTCTGTGGCCAAGAATTTCCCCCGTAGCTTTGGTATAAAAACTGATCCAATATCACAGCTTTTATATGAACACTTCTCTGCATGTGAAAATAATGAAAACCATTAGGTAACACCGAAAATACTTGGGGAAGAAAAGAGAGAGGAAAACTGGAAAGCACAAAATATGGTTGAAAATAAAAAATATGCTCAATTAACTGTTTGTGATACTTGTCCTAAATCATTTTATTATTTATCTTCAGTATATAAACACTGAAAAATCTAAAAATATGTAAAAAATAAAATTAAATGACCATATGCCATTTGTTTCTGCACTTTCGAAGGAAAGCCAACACACAAACAATTTTTCTGAGCATTTCCTGAGATCCAAACATACTCTTATACGTTAATGCTAAAAGAGCATCATGATGGCCAACTCTGATAAGAATACAAAGCAATTGAAATTGAGTGTCCTGATTAACAAAGCAGAAGCATACCTTTGCCATTCTGCAATAATAACCGTGCAGCAGATCTGCACTCAGAAAAGTTACCATTGGGATTCAATGTTGAGAGATATTTTGTCTTTTCTGCAGAATGATTGGGCGAAAAGCTCCATGGTTCTGCCTCATGTTTATACCCTCTAGGAATGCAAGGATCAATTGGTTTAACACTTTGAAAGGAGTCAATGCCTGACATAAAGTAAGAACTCTATGAATAAGTATGGAGGTACATTGAGAGCGAATTCATGTTCACCATGGGTTGTTTTGTTTGGCTTTTGATTGAGGATTCTCACAGTAAGACTTTGAAGAATTGGAGTGTTTGGTGTATAAGTTGATACTCTCTATCACATAATTTCCTTTTTGTTTTGACTTCAGGAAAGTTATTAAGAAAATCAAAGTGTGGTTGAGGTTCTCCTAGGAAGGAAAGATACACAAGGACACATGAAGAAAAATTTGAGACTAACTGAAAGAGGAAAACAGGAAGAAAATTATGGAATAAAGGGAGTTTATATACTACTCCGTATGACCTCCAAGTCTTTACTCTTCAAACAGACCTTAGTTTCCAACTTTCCATATAAGAAACTATATATATAAATTCTAAAAAGAAAGTTGCACACACCTAGATCTTTCCCTCTTGCAACAAGGGACTCCCGCAACAAGTCAAATGCCACATTCTGCAAAATTTTCCAACGAATACGTCAATACATGTCACATTCAAAGTAATATATGTCATATCCAAAGTTTTTACAAGGTTCTGTCCATCTCATATAGGCGGTCTTTGGTAATATTTTTGTTTTCTGTTTTTGATTTCACTCTTCTGGAAATAGAAAAAGAAATCTGTGTGGAAGCAGTGCTTTAGGTTACAATTTTTTTGGTGGGAAATAGAACTCTGAAAATTACTCTAATCAGGAATTTCTTGTTTTCATTGTTTTTGTACACCATGTTTCAATTAAGAATTTCAGATGCTGTTTACGAAACAAGAAAACTGCTACAAGTATAGAGGAGCTTGCAAAAAGTGTTATAAAAATTATGTGACTTGTGTGTTCACTGATCTAAAATGATATGATGTCTAGAAAAATAGGATGCTTCCATTTTTTGTACTTATGATTCATAAAACAATTAGAACAATTATGAAAATCATATAATTTCATTATAAACACTAAAAGTCACATACACAAAACAGATCAGCAAAATATGTTATGGAGTAAGTTTTAGATATTTGAAAACAAATCAAACAAAACAACAAAAAGAATCTATATAGATTATACCTGGCCAAAATGAAGTAGGCTGTGACTGTAAAGGCTGTAAGTATGATTTCCAAACTTAACTTTACTTGAGTACTCCTGGGGCAGAGGCTCATCAGAAACAAATGTAACCTGAAATGGATTTTACAAAATATATAGTAATAAATTAACAACCCTGAATTATTTAATACCAACATAGAAATCAGAAATGATGCTTCATGATAATTACTCTGGTGCGATGAACAATAAAATGAGTGTAGATATTTCCCTGATAGTTTTTAAAAAGGGATGCAGCATAAGATAATGGAAATAATAGGAGAAAGCAATTGACCATAAAAATTTAGAAAGAAAAGAGCCTCCTTGACAAATTACATGATCAAGGGGTATATATTGTGACTTCATGTCCAGGGTTCCAGTTATTTAATAGCCTAAAATCATCCAAACCTCACAACAAGAAAATTTAGAGGCACATTATGTTGGACTGGCATTTTTAATAGAAAAACCCAAAAAAAACCGAAAAACCGAAAAATTGAAAATTTATAGGCACATAGTGCTATTATGCACATGCTGCAAATTACAAGGGAGCACGTATCCATGCCAAAGGACTTTCTCAGTTCAAGAATTTCACAGGGGAGGGGAGAGTGATGTTTTTTTTAAAATTAATTTCTAGGTTCCTAACAAAGTGAATATAAAACAATTACATAGAAATGCATGATCAAACTAATTTATATGAAAAGTTCCGGTTTAAAACTAATGAATAAAGATAAATTGATGAAGAAATGATCAATCCTTCCCTGACCAAACAAGGACTTGAATGAAATTATTTAATTTAACATAAAAGGTTGACATTGAAACCTGAGCTGATGCGCCTCCAAGTTCAATAATTCCTGTCGTTTGCTGCGGATCACCACCAAGTGTTCCCAGGGCATAATTAGCAATAACCCAAGCATAAACCCCCTCATCGGATCCTAAACCCATAACGAAGCAAATCTTAAACTTTTAACAAAACCTTGAAAAATATAAAGAGACTTCCATATCAAAGATAGCAGGTCAGCAGCCACAATTTTGTAAACCTGATATAACAGATGCCCACTCATCCTGGAACATAAAACCAGAACCCTTCAAGACTTTCCGGCATACACCTAGAATCCTATCCTGGACCTCAGAGTCCAATAACCTCATCCCGGCAGTAGCCATTAGCCGGATTCTAGTCCTGCCCCAAAATTCTCTAGGTACCGCCTTCTTCCCAAACGCCACCAATTCATTAATTGCTGATTCCGCCATCTCCGGCTCCTCAGCGTATGCTGAAAGCCCAGGATTCACCTTCATTGAGTGTAAACCATTTCCCCGAAAATTGGACACCGGAATTCCATTTTTGACCTCGTACTCAAACACGTGTATCCTGGTTCCCGTACTTCCGCCATCGACGACTATCGCGTAATTCCTGTTCGCCATATGTTTGATTATGAGATTCTTGGAGGAATCGAAGATGAAGCAGACGAATGCCAGGAGTAAGGCGATTGAAGAATAGAATATGAATTTAGTTTTTAGGTTGTGTCGGGTAGGGTTCCGGGAAATGGATCGGGTAGGCCTGAAGTTGAGTTTGACGGAATCCATTTTTGGAAAATCGTCGGTTTTCAGTTTGTCGGAGCTAGGCCTCGCTGTTGGGGCATTGGATCGGCGCATCAAAAAGAGGGGATTCTGGAAACATAGGAGTGAAATCGAGAATATCTCCTCGATGTCGCCGTCTTCTGGGTTTACCGGCTTGGTGGTCGGAGATCGGGAGGGCTATTTTCAAAAAATCCCCCCTCTCTCCCTGTAAGAACACGATCTGTTTTTCTCTTGTGCTCTCTTGCTTTCAATATTTATTCTTTACTCCGATTGAATTTACAGAGACGGCAATTGAAAGCTTGTTTGATTTACAGGACCGGTGTTGTCGGCGGACCGGTCTCCGGTGATGCATAAATGGTTTTAAAATTGTCAACCTTTTCCATTTTGCAACTAAAATAAGAGTACAAATCTGAACAAATTAGAATTTAATTTCAAAAAAAAGAAACAAAAAACTTTCCCAAAATGCATTTCTCACGGGTAAAATATAAAGTGAAATTAATGTGACCCACACAAATTCTTCAAAAATGGTAAGTGGAAAGATTTTTTTGGTACAAACCAAAAAGGAAAGTGAGAAGAATTTTATGGGACGAAAGGAGTATCATACAACTGGTTGTATCGTGCGCGCACGGTACAAAAGGTCTTTTCCTTCCTCCTGGGCTTTTACACGCTTCTTTCGATTTGGCTTCGATCATGCTTATTATTGCTCATAACCATTGCTCACCATTCGCCTCATTCTCCTCTAGCTCATTGCTCGTTGTCACCTCTCACCACTCACCCCCTTCTCCTTCGGCTCGTTGCTCGTTGTCATCGATCACCACTCGCCCCCTTCTCCTCCAGTTCCTTGCTCGTCGTCACCGCTCACCACTCGCCCCCTTCTCCTCCAGCTAAAACGTAGCGGTTCCACTGTCGTAGTTACCTCTCTTCCCTTTTTCTCTCCTTTCACAGTTTTCCTTTTTCTCTTTTTCTTACGCAGTTTTGCTGTTAGATCTTGTGATTTTCATAAACAATGAGAGTCTACTTCGTTGTCAGGAATCCTTGTTGTTATTGATCTCAAATGAGTTTTATATTAAACTCAAATGAGTATACGCCTTAAAGAAATGAACATACACAAATGAATATTGAACACATTAGAAATGAGTTTTATGTTAAACTCAAATGAGTATAATGCCCAAAATGAATGAGCATATATAAATGAGCTTTTCAATTCTTTGATACGCATTTTGTAAGTTATGTATGCTCATTTGGTACCGATGTATGCTCATTTTAAAATGTTGCATGATGGAGTATATGGCCCGGGAACCCCCGGCCCACAGACCCCTACTACTCCAATAAAGGCTCAATAGGCCCAGGAAGCACAACAGACCCAAATCACGGCGCCCAGAGTACCAAGCAGCCCACAATGCGCACCAGGGGTGCCTTCGGCCCCCTGGCCGAAGGCTCTGATTCTCACAGGAGGGTCAAAACAGGAAAACAAAGTTACTGGGAGAAAATGGCGAAAATCGGTAGCCCTCGGCACCTAGAGCCCTCGGCACTAAGGGGGTCCCCGGTACTCAGAGCCCTCGGCTAGTCCTCTACAGCCGAGGGCACCTTTTCCGACATAATATCCACTCCACATGCGTATAGATCACCGTACCAAGTACGACGTCACATCCAACATCCGCATTAAATGCGGCCACATGCGGTTGTCAGCGCCAACCAGTTGAGGTGACCTCTCGGCCAATGGACGCTTGACACGTGTTGTCACGCCCCGGACCGCATCCGAGCCACGTAGACAACCGCCGTACAACCCGATAAGAACAACAACAGTTCATCCCTATTGAGTTGTACAAGGCGTCCGATTGATTCTATTGCCAAACCGATTAGTAAACACATACAATCAACATCAATATCATAATCAAACAAATGCGGAAATAATAATATGTTTGATACTTAGCCACACGTGGCAAACACGGGCACGCAGGCCCCAACTGTTTTAATGAAGACATTGTTCAAAAATCCATGAGCAGTTTATAGATTTCAAAAATACGAATGGAAGCACGAACCACGTCTTCCTCCTCGAAGGATCACCATAGGCAAAGGTGCAGGTAGTAGGACTCTAGCCTCAACCTGAAAAATGTGAGGGCCCCCGGAGGGGTCAGTACTCCATAGAAGTACTAGTGACAAGCAGGCTATATGAAGAATAACTAATGTTTCAGACACGAGACCCAAAAATAGGGTGATACATATATATGTGACTCATTCATCCGATGATACATACTGTATATATATGTAAAATACTCGACCCGTAGGTCATTTCATCCAAAGAGTCTTTTAGAGATAAAGTTCTTACCTGACCTTTCTCACCCTTTTCCCGAATGCCTAGCTCACCAGGTACATTCTACATTCATAATATCCTACCGAGTTTTGGGAGCATTTAGCATCCCGGGGATACTCAACCCCAACCGAGTTTCAGGATCATTTAATGTCCCGGGGATACTCAACCCCAACCGAGTTTCAGGATCATTTGCAGTCCCGGGGATACTCAACCCCAACCGAGTTTCAGGATCATTTATAGTCCTGGGGATGCTCAACCCCAACCGAGTTTCAGGATCATTTAATGTCCCGGGGATGCTCAACCCCAACCGAGTTTCAGGATCATTTATAGTCCCGGGGATGCTCAACCCCAACCGAGTTTCAGGATCATTTAATGTTCCGGGGATACTCAACCCAAACTAAATCCTTACCAAACCCTAACCTGGATATGGCTAACCTTTCGTTCCTTCAACTATGGACAATACCTAGCCCTATAGTCATATAACCCTCCTTAGGAACCAACGTGGGCGGGTCCCATCTGAACGGCCCACATTAACCCGCTCGAAACTGCCCGTTTTGAGCATAAACCAATACTCGATCGAGTATCTACCCATACTCGGTCGAGTACAGGAGGCGGTAGCCCCCAAAGCTAATTTTCAATGTATACTCGATCGAGTATCTACCCATACTCGATCGGGTATAGGAGACAGTAGCCCCTTGGGCAATTTTTCAGCAAATACCCGGTCGGGTATGGCAGTTGACTTGGCGGTCAACGTCCCTTTTGACCACCCAAACGGAGTCCGATTAACTTGCAATTTTATACACATATACTTCTTGATGTCCTTGATCCAAAAATACCATTTTGGATCCCTGGATCATCACACAAAATATGTCATCACATTTTTAATCACCAAACCTACGTAACATGCCTTTCAACTATGTTTTATGCAAAATCATGGCATAAGCAATTACTTGATTATCTTTAATCATTCCACAAACATATCCTTGATTACTTTAGGTAATCTCATGCCTAACGCAAAAGTTATAAAGCATAAAGCCGTCTTCTCACCTTAATGAAGCTTATGAAGTTCTAGCCTTCCCGATTTAGCTCCGGCGAAACTCCGACGAACTTCAACGAACTCCGGCGACAACTCCGGCGACCTTTTCAACTACGTGAAAGTTCCTTGAATACCTTAGACAAGCTACTAACAAGGTTTTATCATCATAAAACCCATAGTAATACAAATAACCTCCAAAAGATTATTTTCCGGTGAACCGGTTACTTTGGCTTCTAAGTCCGTTCTTGGACTTAGAACCACCTTCCAACCCCTCTTTGTACACATCCCAACGTGTAGAACAATACTAGGGTGTGAAATATGATTGAATAATCATAAAAGAGTATTGAAGAACAAGAAATGGGATTAATGGAGTCCCTACCTTGCTAAACACAAGTTTCCCTCTCCAAAAACCAACTTTTCTCTTCTCTTTTCCCCTCCTTCTTCCTCCTTAGCTCCAGTTCGTGAATGGTGGATGTTGTGAGGTGTTTGCAGAGCTTCTATCTCAAGGATGGATGGGTTGGACGAGCTGGAGGGTTAGGTTGATGATTGAGAATGCCTCTTTGGCATTTCTCCAAAATAATGTCAAAGGTGAGGTCCACCTTCCCATTGATTGGTCTTCCAATCAATTTCTCATTACTCCTGCAGGTTATGTGCGGCTCCCCTTGACATTTGCAGCACCAAATCCGTGGGGTGGCCCCCACTCATGTGGGAGGTCATCCTTTTATGTCCCCAAGTGTACACTCGGCCTCGAAAGTTGTATTTTCCGGACTGCTTTAATTAATATTTATTTTATCGGGTCAAATAAAATATAACTCTCCTTCCCAATCCTTATTGGACCTTAGAATAAATATGCATTCCCCAACTTTAATTTAGAAGTCTCCGAAATCCCTTTTTGGGCTGTTATCTGATAAATTTCCGATACCGATAATTTGGCCCCGTTTGACCAACCGGTCAACTATATGCCATTGCCATGGCCCAATTAGCATATCTACCACCATATTCATATTATCTAGTCCAAGATTAATATAACATGTGGTCCCGATAATATCGGGCGGCCCCACATCCTGTGTGGGCCCCACGTGAATTCTACTATTCACGTAATAGAAATGATAAAAAATTATAATCACGTAAAAATGCTTTTATACATTTCTCAAGGTTCAATACATAATTTGGTACAGTACAAATACTCGGGGGCGGTGTTACAAGTTCTACCCCCCTTATTTGGGATTTCGTCCCCGAAATCCACGTGTCTAATCAAATAGAAATGGATATTGTTCCCTCATTAGGGTCTCCACTTCCCACGTTTGCTCCTCGACACGATCACTCTTCCAAAGTACTTTTACCATCGGCACCTCTTTGCTCCTTAGCTTCTTTACCAGTCGGTCTATGATTTTCACCGGCTGCACCGTATAGTGTAGGTCTTCTCGGATTTCCACTGGTGGTTTCTCAAGAATATGTGACGGGTCCCGCACATACTTCTTGAGCATAGAAACATGAAATACATTATGAATCTTTTCTAACTCTGGAGTCAACTGAAGTCGGTAAGCTACAACCCCAATCCTTTCAAGGATTTTGAACGGACCTATGTAACGTGGGTTAAGCTTACCCCGACTGAGGAACCTGATGATCCCTTTCCAAGGTGATACCCTCAGAAATACCTCGTCACCAACCTCAAACTCCAACGTCCTCCGACGTTTATCAGCATAGTTCTTCTGTCGGTCTTGGGCAGCCTTGAGCCTATCATGTATGACTTTTATCTTCTCCTTAGTGATCTCGACTAACTCGGTGCCCTCGAGCTTAGACTCGCCGACCTCGTCCCAACATAATGGTGTCCGGCATTTCCTCCCATACAATGCTTCGTATGGAGGCATGCCTATACTTGCCTGATAACTGTTGTTATAGGCGAATTCCACTAAAGCCAACTGGTTGTCCCAGCTCCCCTGGAAGTCCAACGCACATGCCCTTAACATGTCCTCCAAGATCTGAATCA